TATACCATAATCATTAACCAATATTGAACTTACTCAAGATTCTTCTGTTCCTCAGATGATGCAGGAACCACTGAACTCGCGGAGCTATAGTCTGAGTCAATTTCGCTTCCATCAACAGATACATAACTGAGTCTCTGATTACTAAGTGGATCATCAACAAAAGATAACCTCTGAGAAGACCTGCCTGAGCTAACAAACTGATCATCTGTGAAAAAGAGAATAATAATATCGAAATTATATGTTATCCCATACCATAAGTCAAGTATTCTTACATGAATTACAGACCACCCAGTGATCAAAAACATGTAAAATTCTGCCAGGAACCATTTCTTGGAATGCTGGAGAAATTTGGGCTTCCAAACTAAAGCACAGAAAAGATCAATAGGCCATTTGCACTAAGAGGTCATGTGACATCGTTTTCATGAAAATGAAAGTTATATGATTTTGCCTTCGAAAAACGATTAGTGGGTCATATTTTGAACAACATAATAGTGATTTGGTTTTTCAAACCCGCACCATTTTCGTAAAGTGAGTAAATTCGTAGCTGGTCACGTGACCATAATGTGAGTTTTAAAATTATGAATTACCTCTTTCTGAACACAAATTTTGCACTTAAACTTCAAGGGAAATGTTGAAAAGATGAAGCGGTAACGTTTACAGCACATCTGAGCGTAACTATCTAACGTTTAACAAGGTGAAAGTAAAAAGTAGTTTTGGTAGCCATGTTGGAGGGCAAGAATATGCCCTCCAACATGGCGGCCAATACAAATCATACTACTTTGTTGAAAAATCAAAGTGCCACAAAATATCTCCCTTAAATGCATTTCCTTTCAAACTGCGGGTGTAAGATAATTTTTATGTGCTCTGTCAATTTTTGGCATCAGCAAGATTCCTACTCATTGTTTAGAGGAAGCAATGGTCACGTGACCTCTTAGTGCAAGTGGCCTATTTTATCTCAGTGCTGAGAGTTTTGGTGACCCATACAAGAGACAGGATTATTTGTGCCGTACATGACAGAAACTTTGATAAGAGCGGATGAAAAACTCAGCTTGTGAATTTACATATTTTTACGGTAGCCAAAAAATATATATATTTTCTTAATACTAACCATTTTTCAAAAAATATGATGAAAAACTACCTAAGCTAAGGTCTGCAACTAATTATTGTCAGACTAAAAACAATGGCTAGTTTAGACAACAAAACAGAATTAAAACTGCAGTGCAAAAATACAGAGTTGTGTATAATACAAAAAGCATTTTTATTGGTTGGGTCTTCTCACAAACTACAGATTATGAATTATCTACTTATCTTTGGTTGAACACATACAGAATTTGCATTGTACTATGTACAAATCAAGATACCTTTATCGTCACTTGAATTAACTGTACAATATAGGGAAGAGTTTCTTTCCAAAATTTTAATAAAATATATCAGCCATGAAAAATGCTACAACCAAACCTGCTTTTAAAAAAACACATATGTGATATTCATTTTAAATTAACTGCAGTGCTACCAAGGATAATCAAAGGGGACATTTCTCAAAATATACATTGTATTTGCCAAAACCCTGATGCCTTTAATAATTCAAAAGAGTTTTATAGTTAAGGTTTGGTTGTATCAGAAATATATCAGCTTAACTACAAAACCACTTCCATCATTTTTTTCACATAAATGTGAAGATTGAAAATGGGAAGAATAATAATTATTTTGAAAACAACAAATTTCAGATGCTAGTATATGTCACCTATTAACCAAAACCAAATTAAAAAAACCTTTCAGGAGAGACATATTTTTTTAGCAAATTGTGAAAAGCTTTGAATTTATAGTATTTTAAATGCCAAACTTCATCTAGTTGAAGGTTTTCAATACTTCTCAGAGAAAACACACAATATCGAGTTGTGATTTTTTACATACCACAAAATATTAAATATTACCTTAAGAAAAGTTAACCTGATTTTGAATTCTAGTAAAGTAACACATAAGATAATGTAAAGTCAATAAAAAGCAATATACTGGAACTAATCGAATCTGTCAGTTACATACAGTCATAGAAAATTTTCTTTTAAAAAAGATTAACATAAAATCAGGAGTTGACAAAGTCTTAATTTTTAATGTGTCAGCTTAGAACTGAAAATGATTGTTTTTAACAATGAAATTAATAATAGAACCTTTTCTTGGAAATAACTGGAGAAAATTAATTTTTTAAAATGAACTCCCCAAGAAACATGACCTTGGAGGAGAAAAAGTTCAAAAAGCATTATAAGCATTGTACTCCCTTTAAATCTTAACAAAGTAAGCTGAACGGAAATCCATTTTCAATGAGTAAACATAACTTGAGCTATTCGAACAAAATTAAATATGAACCAAATAGTTAACTCCAAACGCCAAAGTCTAGTGATGGCTAGATGACATTTTATTTTGCAACATGACACCTTCGCAAAATGCAAGGCGACGAAGATCCCCCCAAAACAAAGTGAAACGCGAATACTGTATAGGAGCTGGCAGGATCTAAAGACAATGATATGATGATAGAAATAAATCTATTACTATACAACGCACAGTCTTAAATTTCGAATGAAATACAACTTGTAAAAGCTCGTTTATGAGGCGAACAACAACTGTATTTTAGTTATGACTAATTTAACACTTTTTTAAATCATGTGACGTATGCACGTATGTTCAGAGATCGGTTTATTTAGAAGAGGATATTTTACTAAGCCAACAGAAATTTTTGAGACTGTTCTTATTCGCAAGCGATTCTTTCCGGCCGTAGAGACATATGAGCTATCATAAAAAACTTTCCCGTTTCGGGCGACAGACTCCATTGCGATCAACCTACCTACATCTTCCACCGGGCTTGGAGTTTTTGAGCCGAAACGATCCAACGTTTTGAGAATATCCTCTGTAGATATGTTTCTCTCCTCTTCAGAGTGATTATCCATTTCCTCAGGATTTCAAGCGTGTTTTACAGTCTTTCATAGCTCCATAAATCCGCAATGTAGGTGTGCTGGCCCATCCATTAATTTTTGCTGGAAAACGGAAGATACTGCGGGCTCACAATCACTGATAAACTCTCTGTTTTGGCGCGTTTGAGAATTTTTTCCAAAGAAATCAACTTCCTCCTGCCGCGTCCACAAGATGATAAATTACAACCTGGTAAATCAACCGAATCAAAATCTGTACTTTTGTATTTCTGAAGCCGGATGTTGTGCAGTATAATTTTTTTAGACTCTTTAGACTCTTTAATTTAGGGGATCGGCAGCTCTGTTTTGACGCAAATAATAATCGCGGAGGTAATCTTCTCAATTTAACACTGGAGAAAAATTAAACAAAGACAAAATAATCATTCATTACGATACAAGTTTCCTGACTATGTCAAAGATTTAACAGTTTAGGGTGACACTTAGAAGGGAGGAGTGGGATAGGTACCGTTTAGAGACACATCCAGCCCTCCCCGGTCAGAAGGGGTTTCACGGTGGCCAGTATGGCTTTTGATCAGGGCGGATAAAGGTTGGGCGGTGAAACGAGCGCGTCCGAGCAAAAAGGTGTGATGCAGTGGACTGGGACTTTGCTTAGAAATGTCGCTTGTTTTCGACTTCGGTCAGGCCTTGCGATGTGCTTTGTACATTAGACACTGCCGCTGTCACTGAATTATGGCGGCTTGATTTGTTTTCTTGCACTTCTTCCTCGTTCCTTTGAGCTGGTACGCTGTCTCCGAGAGGCAAATGTTGCTATTTTTTGCGGAAGGTTTAGTTGGAGTAGACAAACATCTCTTTCAAAGGGTTTCTTTTATTACTTCCATGACTCTACCACTGAATTATATTTTCGTTCTGCTACTCGCCAATGTCGATGTTATTCCAAAACAAAAACAACTAAGTACTGTCTAAAACACGAAGGAAAGTCTCATCCATGTCATCCATGGCAAAACTAAAAGACAGCAGATCGTGTTTCATAACTAGATGACGCGTATTTTATAAATGCGTGCAGCTCGTGCAAGGTAAAATTATGCTAATTTCAATCACCATCATCCTTCTTTTTAATTTTGAAAAAAACATCTCATACGTCTTTATGTTTCTTCGAAACTTCAAAATTAGTTTCCCCTCAGTTTTTACTGTTTACCTTGTCTTGTTTTAGAGAGAAAATCTTAGAAAAAAACCTTACAACTAACCTCAATAAATTTTGTTTACATGCGGTTGCCGGATTTGCAACGCATTGCGCGAATCGCCATGGCGCGTTGCACCCGAGAAGCAAAGTTTGAAGAAGTACAACGCCACTATATCAATATATATCAATCTAATTTTTTGATATGTTATACAAAATTTATCCCCCTTTAACATATGTAAAAATTGAGGTTAAGAAGTGTTAAGCTTTTGCAAACGAAACGGCGAAAGACGATTAGGTGATATTTAGTAGAAGGAGGAGGTATTTAACACTTTCAAATGAAACTCAAATTTTGGCATTATACGACCAACAAGTTTGACTTATAAACGTACAGACACAAACATATGAAACTGTTTATTGATATTGTTATGAAACGAATTTATCTATTTAACATTGTAGCCTGAAATTACAGAAAGAAAATAGGATTTCCGGTTTGCAAAAAGGAAAATTTCGCCGGCCTTCAAGCGCACCGGAAGCGCGGAAAGAGCGCTCGTGCCAGTCCTACTCCGCATCACACATTGAATGAAGAGCGGAGCGCTCGTTTCACCGCCCAACCTTTATCCGCCCTGCTTTTGATCGACTGCTCTGCCGGGAGATCTGATCGGCGAGCTTCGAATTGTTTCACTTCAGTTGATTTCTGATTAATAATTTTGTGGCCATGAAGCGGTTTTTCTGAAGATGCTAAGAATACTTCAGGTTGTTAATCTCAACTTTTTAAAGTGTTGAAAAGCAAGCTTAAAACCACTGCATGTGCGTTGGCAGCGTCATTTTTGTCATGTTGATTGCAATTAATGAAAGTCATTAAGAAATCGTTATCATCGTCTAACTTTGCTTTTAGGATGGGTACAGGAGCAAGCAAAAAAAATGCGAGGGCAACAGTAAATGCAGGGATTGTAGCATCCAAATGGATGACCAATACTCGCTCATCTACGCGAGAATCGATCGCAGTAAACATCGGAGTAGGTGACGAAGCGGAAGATCCAGGAAAAAATGTGAAAGACATCAAGGCCAAGTCTGTTGGAAGGTAGCTGATTTCTGGCGTATTTTTAACTCTTGAAAAGCTTCGAGTACCTTGAAGTATATCTTTTTTTAAATTACAAATTAGTTATGTAGGATATAGGTTATTTGATTGAGCATGATTTTTCATCGTGTCGATCGATAGAAGTTATGTAACGGGCAATATCAGCTTAAGTCATTTGCTTTAAATAACACTGAATTTAACGGAACTGAACAGCCATTCACATATGGCCGTCTTACCAGTGCCAATGTAACTTGTCTATGGTCTGTCCAAAAAAAGTGTAGGATCCAGGACTTGAGCTGAGGGGACCCCACTCTGCAGAAAACATCCTCTAAAAATAAGGGGGAGGTGAGGGGGGGGGGGGGGCCGCCCCGGGCCCAAAGAAGGCACGAGGGCGGGGAGCAGGGAGGGAAAACGCAGGCGGGGGAGGGGGGGGGGGGGGGGGGGGGGGGGGGGGGGGGGGGCTGCCCCGGTCCTAAAGAGTGCACGAGGTCAGGTGATAGGGTAGAGAAGGAAATATTGGGATCAAATAGAAAGTTATCTTTCTTTCAAGCAAAAGTATTGCTGGTCCTGAATCTACCCTATCCCGTGAAAAGTTCCAGTTTAGTTTCACACTTTCTTGAACACCCAATGCAAAGTCTTTCAACTTAATCCTGTCTGACTCCAGTACTGGCTGTTAATCTCAGGGAGCTTACAACTAACAAGACCAAAGCCACCGCAAGTCCTGTTGCTTCCAAAAAAGTCAAGGCCAAAGACAAACCATCTGAAGTTAAAAATGATTCCACAACTAATGTGAAACCAAGTAAATCTGGTGATAAAGGCAAAACAGCTGCAAAGAAAGCTGAAAAGACTACAGAAAAAAAGAACCTCACAACAAATTCTCCTTCAAAAGAAAAGAGCAAAGATCAAGGAAGGAAAGGTCGAGCAGGCAGTCAACTAGTGTCACCAACGTGAGCATTGTTATTATTCTTTTAGACCATAAATAGTCGTCCATTGACATTCTCATGCCGCTGTAAGGTCAGTTTTATTGTGGGTACTTAATCTACTCATGTGTTCGTTTCATTGTTTGTGATTTGTTTTATTCATTTTTACAATGATTTACTTTAATTTGTATTCTTTTTAAAAAGTTTATCCGAAGTGTTGCACAGTAACACAAGGGTAGATAGCCTGTGGCACAGACAAAACTAAACTCTGGTAAGTTTGTCTGCAAAACAGCACCAAGATTCTGCATGGTTCTGGGCCCCCAGTTGTGTACCAGGATTTGAGTATGTGACATGATTGGCCTGTCAAAAAAGCCATTGTCAAATTCTTTATCAGGAGGAAAGGAAATTCACTGAAACATACTTCCAGTTATGATTATTTATTTCATGCATTGGGGGAGCAGAGCAAAGATATCAGTGCTGCTTTACAAGGTTAAATTAAATCTGCAATGCCAACGCAGGCTAAAGGGTGGAGAGCTTGGTTAATGGTAAAATGGTATAAATTGACATATACATTTTATTGTTTTATAGATCAGATCTATCCCAGAAGGTGGAGAGGGTTTTACAGGGCATAATAGACGAAAATTGCCCTGTCAACTCAAGGGTCATTCGCATCTTTCTTAGTTCTACTTTTACTGGTAATGCCACGTTCACATTAACAAAGCCTTTTTTAACCTACTTTAAGGCAGGGAGTTCTACACAGCTAGAACTAAATTTGATTTTGTAGCTTGAAGCACCCACATCAGTGTAGGAGTTTGGTACCCCTCCCCTGAATAGAAAGTTAATCCATTGTCGGGGTAACCCCTCCCCCCCCCCCAACAAAAAAAAATGAAATGCATCTGTTAATCCTAGGGCCTTTTTACAAACCAAAATGACAGATTTCCCTACCCTTCCATATACTTCAATGAGTGAAATCCCTACCCTTTCATACACCTGAGGCCTGAAAAAGGTACCCCTTTCGGGCGGAGCCTCCCCATATAGGCCATTATAGGGAGTACCCTTAGGCTTTTGATTGAACCTTGACCTACAGATTTGAAGTTCAAGATGTTAACTGCTTGGCTGCCACACCTGCAGAATTAAAGTACTAACTGGTTTATAACAATCCAATTCAACGACCTGCTCCCAGTTGGCTTGTTAGCTCAATTGGTAGAGCGCTGCACCAGTATCATAGAGGTCAACGTTTCGAATCTCGTACAAGGCTAAATTTTTTTCAGGCTTTCTTTTTGCAACTGCAAAAGTTGTGTCTATGATTGTGATGATCTTTCGTATAATTACAGTACTAGTAATACAATATTGCACCCAGGCCTGACAAAAGGGGAAGAAAAAGAAAATTATTCAACCTCCTGAACAATGAAATATTTTGACTATGTGTGGCAGTAAATAAAATTTGGATTAGGCAGGTTGTTTGAGTATAGTAACCGACTTTCTCAATTAGAAGAGTTTTGAAAGAGACTTTTTAAAATTATTTCAGTTTAGCCTGGAAAAAAGTGGTAACCCAATTTTTCTTAGTGAATAAGGTAACCAGCATTTTTCATCAGCTCACGCTATTATATTGAAACACTGTAAATAAATGAGCATTTTTTTCTTGCGTTTTTAGACACTGAACATGAACGTAACGCTCTCATGGAACATGTTTATCCAAAGCTAAGGGACTTTTGCGAGAAGAGAGGCTATGAGTTTCAGGTAAACAGTATGTCACGCATGTGTCTTTAATTGTGCGTTTGCTGAAGTGCCATGCTTGATAGATAAAGTGTGACTGTCTCTGTCAAATCCATGGAATGGAATGTGACATTTTTTAGAGGAAGTTAATAGAGAGTTCAGGATTTAGTGGGTGTCCAGTTCAGCATATCTTCGAGTTTCTTGGATTAGGCCGAAAGAGTATAATCTGAGGGTAGTATCATTTTCGAATGACTAACATAAAATCATTTGTCAGTTTAAACAGACCGAGGGCATACATTTTCTCGTCTGATCATAAGTTAGTCATAGCTTTGAATTTCCATGTACCTTATTGGTGATGCCTCCATTGTACCATTCTGACCATTGCTGCATTTCTTTTGATCTTAACATTACTGAATTTGATTCGTTTGATCGTTCGATCGATCGATCGATCGTTCATTCATTCATTCATTCATTCATTCATTCAAACGTTTGTTCGTTTGTTCTTTCGTACGTTTGTTCGTTCGTTTCCTTTCGTTTCGTTTTGTCCAAGCCAAATGTTTCTAAAGGTCTCTTGTTTAGCTGTAAGTACATAATTATTTTAAGCAATTTAAAGAAGATCCAAAGACGTAATTTCTAGGTTAACTTTAATTTTAATGGATATTTCATTTTGTGTTAAAAGGATGTAAATTCAATCTTTAGCAAGGCTTTCTGGTCTTGTCTCTACATTATTTTGTAAGAGAAGCAGAAAAATTGATGAAAAATTTAGTTGACAATTTAAATTTCTTGGTAGGTTGTAGACATGAGATGGGGTGTTCGTGATGACGCTACAGATGCACACATGACAACTGAACTTTGCTTACGGGAAATAAAAGCATGTCAAGAGATTTCTGTTGGACCAAACTTTGTAGTAAGTTATTCACGTTCAATGTTACGCCTTTATGGTAATTATTACATGAGTGATATTGTAGTATTCCAGTTGACTAGAGGCGACTAAATCTTGTGCAAACTAGAATCAAAAACAGGACTCGTACAACAACAACAGCCACGGCGACGGCCGCAGTAACGTCAAAAAAGCAAGAGGTTTAATAAGCATCACAACAACTCTACCATCCCGCTTTTTGGTAGGACATTTCTTTGCCGTCACTGCAAGACATGAAACTTTCTACTGCGACATTTTATAGACGTCAGGACGAGCTTTTCCTTCTCTTTGTGAACATGGATGTGCTCAGCCTTGAAAATTCATCTCCAGCAAATTGATCTTACTTGAGCGTGCTGGAATAATCGCGGTGAAGGGTAATGCACTCTGCGTTAGGTGACGTTTGCGCTTCTGTTCTTCTTCTTGTTACTTTAACTCTCATTTTTCGGTTGATGTGCAGATTTCCCGCAACCGTAACTCACCAGCCCCCCCCCTCCCCCCCCAAAATAACTAAGCCAAACCTCCAGCGTACTCGAGGTTCGCGCCCCTTTTTTATTGTGTTCCTCCCTTTAGCCCTTTTCCCCCTATTTCTCCTACTTCCCACCCTTTTGAAAACTGCCGACGCCCTTCCCTCTCCCGCCCCTTATTCTCCCGGTTCCCACCCTAATGTTTTTTCCACTACATTGTAAATTACGTCTTTGTCAATGTGATCATCTTTTCTTCGTTCTTTCTTAACAGACGTTGCTCTCTGAAAAGTATGGTTATCGTCCACTTTTACCCTCGATAGATGCTCAGGAGTTTGAGAAGCTTCTTAGTACAGCTACTGATGACCAAACTAGGGAACTATTTGATAAGTAAGAGAAAAAGCTCTGTCTTTATTCTAATTTGTTGTTCAGTAAGGCCTAACCTGAATGCCAGAGAGTTTTCATGCGCGGCATCCTGTTTCGTTAAAGTAACCCATCCTGAAAGCTTTTAAATTGCAGCCTTGCTGCTCGAGGCTTCGGTGTGTGATCAACCCCGGGGTATCCCTTCCTGTGGGGAAAAAAACACTCTGGTACCCAGCGTGATTAGGGATTGGGTTCTATAAACTAGATCGTTGGGAACATCCTCTTTTTGGCTCCTTTGACTGCATACGTCAGCAAGATCCACGTGACCTCATCGGGGTGATCCATAAGGGGCCTTTATCCACTAGGTCCACACAGGGGTCAACTGGAAGCTCTCAGAGCAGGGACCCGTTTCTCAAAAAACCCCCATAGTTAATGTGCTGGCTAAGTCGCCATTTTTGGTGATGTGGTCGGTCTCAATCACGGACTCATCTTTGACGAAAGTTGGTTTCGTTCAAATCCGGGTACAACAATTCACAGACGTTCAACTGAGATCATCATATACGACCTCAGACGTGGTCAGTCGGACCTAAGGGAGCTTAAGCAACGACGACGACGACTGCAGCGAGAATGGCAAAATCGAAATAAGTTTATATTAGCAAAACAACAACTTTGCACGTGCATCACGCTTTTTTAACATTTCTTAGCCGTTGTTGCATGACTTCATAGTAAAAGTACCTAATTTCACGTTTTGTCGAGGAAGATACAAAAGACAACAACTTTCCTTTTTCCTTTTCCTGAACTTTGATACAGTCCTTTAGAATTCAAATCCAAAAGCATTTTCCAACATTTGTCGAATCAAACGAGATGGAATAAGCGCGATTGAGTTTGAAGCTGCCGTTTGCAGCGTGAATTCACTTTTGAAGTAACGTTTTCGTAGCCGTCACCTTTGTTTTTTTGCTTAAGCTTCCTGTAGTCCTATAACCAAATGTTATTTGCCGCTCTGCTTTTAACTCATCATTCAGTGCCGTAGCCAGACCAAACGGCCAACCGAGGCAGGCGGGAGTTGCTAGGGGGTTTCTGGGGCATGCCCCCCCCCCCCCCCCCCCAACTTTGACCTTGTTTTTTCGCGCGCACCGGTTGTCGGGGGTTTTGTGGGCTTTTGGTGCTTTTTTTTTTTTTTTTTTTTTTTGGTATTTTAAAAAAAAAAATAAAAAAAAAAAAACATAAAACAAGGTGGGGTCATTCCACCCAACGTCATTTTTTAAATTTTTTTTTGTATTAACTTTTTTTCGAGTTAATTTAAGTGGAATTTAAAAAGCAATAATCAGAAACAAGCTACATAATCTGGGTGACCGTTAACCTCGCCAATGGTTTTGATCAGTATTTGTTCAAAAAAAATTTGAGTTAACATACGTAGCCCCTTGAGATCGATGATATGGTAATTTTTTCATAGTATATTGACTGAATTGCTGAATTCTTTGTAAAATCATGATGCGTTAAAAATATCCGATGATCGCTTATGTAAAATAAAAATGATCGGCGAAATTCGTCAAAATTTTACCGAGGCGAGTGCCTCGGTTGGCCTCATACTAGCTACGGCGCTGTCATTAATGCGAGGAACACATTTCTTTTATCATAAAGGTGGTACAAGAAAGACGAGAACTGCTTCCCCATTTCTTACATTCTTCAACCCGTAACAACGTGGATACCAAACTTCTTTAATGATGGTGACCAGTCACTGAAGCAAGAAGCACAAAGACAATGGCAAAATGACTATAATACAATGAGACAATTTCTACAGAGAGCTGCAAAGGAGGCATTTAAAGACCAGAGGGATGTTTGGCGCAAATATGTTAGATCAGGTAGAGGTGCATAGTCCGACATGCGAAACGAGAAAGTCGCTTTACTGATCGTTCGCATGTTCGCTTGCGACCGCTTTGCTCGTCATTCGAAATGGAGGGATTGCTGGCCGGTTGCCTAGTCTCTAGGCGTCGTTATTCCGTGCGGCCAATTCGTTTTGGGTCACGTGGTCCAAGCGAAGAAGCGAGTTCGTCTCCCCAGGGTGTCGCTACCCATACGTCACCGAAGTGAATTGACCGAGAACGCCTAGAAAAAGGGCTAGTCATCGTACATAAGACTCTTCAGTGCTGGTAGAACTCGAATGGCCCTTATCACTAGTGTTTATGTAATTAAATTAGTAATGAAAACACTTTCCCAACATCATCTCCAGGCTCTTTTTTTGGAAAGTCAGAGGAGCAGCGGGCGGGAAAAGGTCCAGGCATCGGCTGGTCACATGTCTAGTTTGCCCCTCCCATAGTCCCGGGTACGAGGTTGAATTTACTGTTGAACAATTTGTTCATTTTGTTTTATTCTAGTTTGCGAAGTAGAAATTGAGCATGGCCTCTTGAAAGCTGACAACCCAAAACGATCGTGCGTGTGGTTTCACAGAGTAGTTAGTGGGCTTGATCCCGATGAACATAGCAAAAATCCTGTTGCTGCAAATTATCTTGACTATTGCCTTGAGGGAAAGGACCACTGTGGTAAAGATCATCCTCAGTCTCTGTTACACAACTTGAAGAACAAGAAAATGAAGGAAATTTTACACCTTGACAACATCTTTACCTATGACGCCACTTGGACCCCCAGAGGTACTTCTTGATCGTAGCTTTGTCGTGATCTTTACTTTAGAATACTGCGTTTTTGTCTTTTACATGTTATACGTTAGAAGGAAGGTGAAGTTTGGCGGAAGTGTTTTTCACACATAGTTATTGTCACGCTAGTCACACAAGGTTTTTCCGTCTCCTTTCCTCTCCCGTCCTGTTGCGTAAGTTTACTAGAGTAGCCTTTTACGCAGCTGTCACGTAACGCTTCTTTCTTTGTGGGGAAGAGCGTTGCGTGACGAAGCAAAGAACAGCTACATAACTAGAGAGACTATAGAGACTAACTAAACTGGCAGATAAGAGGAGATTATGTCACTTACATCTGAATGGGGGATACCGTAAAACTCCGAAAATAAGCCCCTCCAAATATAAGCCCCCCAAAATCGTGAGGCAAAAAACCCTCCGTTAAATCTCCCCTCCGAATATAAGTCCCCCTCTCTCAGTCAACTTTGCTAATACAAAGAAATACCTTATAAATTAGAGTGCATATTGCCAAAGAAGTAGTGCCTCCCGTATTTAACTGTACAGACTCAACAAAATGCAACCTCTTTTATTTATTCAAGGACAGCGAGAAAGGAAGCGCCCTACTTATCTAGAGTTTTTGTGGCATTTTCCGCGTCAGCAAATTACTTTCCGTGGCGGTTTCTTCTCTCTTACTTCACTTACTTGTCAACAGTTTCCGCCAAACTTGAAGATCTTCACTTGTTCAATCCGGATAGATATACTATATCCAAATAAAAACAGAGGAAATAATTTTTAATGACGTAATCTGTGCGCCTATGCTCTTATAGATCATAGATAGTGGCCATATAAAGTACGCGTAGAATTCGTACACTGTGAAACGTAAGAAGGTCAAGTGACAAAAACTGGTGTCTACTGTGATTGTTTCAGGTTTCTAGGGACCACGCCCAAAAGTTCCTCAATTCGGCGTATGCTGAAAACGGTCATGTGGCAGATCAAGTATGTTTATAAATTGACATCCAAAGTTCCTCGCGTGAGTAATTTTTTTTTTTTGAAATAGTAAATAGTTTATGAAGTTATGTACTGTAAGTGACGTAATAAACAACCAGGGCGTCTATTAAAATTCTAGGGTTCCATGAGGGAGCCTTTAATAGTTATGACGCGTTTAACCCTTTACAACCTAAGATCAAAATTTGAATTCTCATTTGTTGCCCCTATTTATTTCCTACAGACGTAGTGGGGAGAAGTTGACAAAATATCAAGCAAATTTGTCTTGTGTGATCATGTCCGTGATTCTCATGACCACTCTGTTTTACAAAGGATTGATATTACAAGGAGAAATTTGATGCTGATCACTTTTAGGGCTTAAAGGGTTAAAAGAGAGAGGCGTTTATTCTCATAACTGTAACGAGCTCAACAAAACTAATATGCTTTCGGCGGAAATATCAAAAGAGTTTAAAAATAGGGGAATACCCACTCCATCGATAATCGATAATCCTCTCGTAGGGTTATTGTGTTGCCATCGTTAGTCTATTTTTAGTTTAAACTTGACATTAAACAAGAGGAAATACGCAAAGCCTTGTTGATCAAGCAAGAAACTGAATGAAGTGAATGATTTTGCTCGTTTTTGCTAATTCCTAGTAGTTTGGAGTAATTCTCACCGGGGGTGTCTATTAGACAGGGGGCGTTTATTAGCGAAATTTTAACAGCGTAGAGGGGGCGTTTATTAGATAAGGGGCGTTTAATTGGAAGTGGGCGCTTATTAGGTCATTTATGGTATCTAGTGGAAAGTGTTAACTGTAGTTATCTGCCTTTTTAGAGTACTAAAGGAGTCTTTGAGCAGTTCCCTGTGTTTCTATCGAGCGCCACCAAGGAGCAACCGTTGGTCATTATCTTTGATTCACTGGATCAGCTTTCTCCCCTGCATGGTGCTCGGAAGTTGACTTGGTTTCCAAGGCAACTACCGCCTCATGTGAAGTTCATTGTATCCACACTGCCAGATCAAGAATACAAGTGTTTTCCAGCACTCAAGGTATCTTGCATTGAAATATTAGGTAAATTAAGAGAGTACTAAGAGAAGAAGCACTATTATGCCCGCGAACTCGGATTATATGTCTCAGAAGCCTATCCTGACCTCTCTATGTGGCCAATGGATGAAGTAAATCATCTATGTAAACTGCAGATGAAATGAAGTTATCTGCAAATTGCCAGTTTTTAATGTATCGTTGTTCAATCCTGTTGCAGGCACTTTTTAAGAACCCGAAATGTTTTGTATCGATTCCCGAGCTTTCCTCTGAAGATGTGACCGCTATATTGACCAGATGGCTTCAACAAGAAAATAGGGCTCTTCAGGAGCATCAGCTGCAGGTGCTCAACGATGCTTTCAAACAATGTCCCCTTCCCTTGTTCCTGAAGATATCTTACGATGAAGCATGTCTATGGCGATCTTATTCTTCACTTAGTGAGACGTGTTTAGAGACAACCATACGGAAAGCCGTTGATAAACTCTTCGAGAGAATTGAAGTGAATCATGGTCAGGTGCTTGTTCGACACGCGCTCGGTTACTTAACTGCAGGTAATTAACAGAACGTTGCTGTCCGATTGGTTCTCTGTGATGCTCTGAGATGAAAGTAAGTCGGGATAGAAACTACACAGAAGCATGCGATAAGTGCTGAATCGGAGAATACCGTAAAATTCCGAAAATAAGCCCCTCCATGTATAAACCCCTCCAAATATACGCCCCCTAATCCGGTCACGCAGTAATGTTTAATAAGTAGCTCGCCGAAGTTAGCGTCAATTTTTGGTCGTCCTATTCCATACGGCTTTCTATGATAGCGATGTTAAATTTTTCACTTCTGTTTCCAGCTTTTGCACTGACTCTTTCCTCAGCTTTTAGTCTAACATGGAGATCTTGCACGTTGTGTTCAGTTGTTCCCTCTGTCAGTTATTTGGGCCTGAAAACTTGTTTGTTCATTTGAAGCGTTAACAATTCGGAGGTCTTAATAAAATCTGCCTCATCTCTCTTCTGTTACATTATTCCTGTGGTCAATTTTTCTCACGCCCTGCTCCCCTAAGTTGGCACTTATTACACTACGGTGGCTTTCGAGGATTTTAATTTCGCTGTCGATGATCTGGCTGCGCATCGGTAATCGCAACCTTTGATTTAATGCCAGGTTCATTAGCCAGTGACAATCTGAGATAGATGTGTTTATGGAATACAGCAGCAGTTTAACAACATTCAAATTATTGTCTTTACAGCATCACAAGGTTTAACGACAAGCGAACTTGAGGACATCTTATCCTGTGATGAAGAGGTCCTTCATGATGTGTTCCAGTACTGGACCCCACCGATAAGGAGACTTCCCCCCCTGCTCTGGGTCAGAATAAGGGCGGATCTTGCCTCTTACCTGGTTGACCGGGGGGCGGATGGCACCCAATTGATCTGCTGGTATCATAGGCAGTTCGTTGAGGCGGCTGTGGACCGATATCTATCAGATCCGATTGAGAAGAAGAGTCGTCATAGTGCAATTGCTGACTACTTTCTGGGAAGAAACTTTGTTGGTGAGCGAAAACTCCGATACTTGTTACTAATCTCGTACCCAGATCTCTTGTCTACGAAGCCGAGGGCGAGATCTGGTCAAGTAAGGAAAATCAATTTTTCTGATTAGCTAGATTGTGAGGGAGTGACCTGCGCGCCCTGTGGCTTGTGCAATTCTTCATTATTTCAGACGGTTTTGTTAAAAGCTGTATATTTTTTCGCTGAATATGTAGTTTTTCGTCTCAATATAGCTAAATATAACTTTCTCTTAGTATTAAGATAGAGAATTTGAAAATGATACGGTAAAAACATTTGTCGCGTAGAACTTGATGGGTACTGCTTGAGCGTTTGCTATGAAATTATGTTTAAACTAACTGCCCCGTTGAATTTCATGTTACCAAAAAAATTGGTTCTTACTTAAGCTGTGTGTATAAGCACACTTTGTTAGAGAAAACTTCACGGCTCTATCAAATTTGTTGTTTAATACGGCCACCATTTTTAGAATTTATTTCAAGCAAGTGCACTTTCATCGCCTGTCACAATCCTGTCAGGCGATCATGTGTACAAATCGGATTTGGCCAGATTTCGGCTTCGGCGACAAGAGATCTGGGTAAAAGATTAACTTTTTACTTTATACTCTCTATTGGGTGCAACATTGACGATCATCGGGCAGCAAAGTCATACTAAAGAACAACACAGTCACTGTCTTAATTATTTAGCTGATTCAATAAAGGTTACTTTAGGCATTGGGAATTGGCAATTGCGCATTGGGCATTTGCGCATTCTGAACTCACTGCAATGATTTTCTTGAGTGACCCCTAAACAATAGCTACCCAGAGCGCAATTTCCAAGCTCAAAGTAACCTTTATTGGATCAGCTATATACAACATTGTCACATGACGCAACCACACTATCGTATTTACAACATAATTACTTTTCTTTCGTGTACCGGCAACAGACTCGTAGTTTGGCCGGAGCCACTCTAGTAGCTTTCATTTGAATAGTCTTACTAGAAGACTTCATCCAGCCCTTGAACATTTAATTTTCCTACGTTTTGAGACATAAAAGCTAAAAAAAGGCCTTTGCTTCATTTCAAGTCCTTAGAAGCGTTGAATAGTATTATTCGGGCAATGAGTTAAGGGTGTGTTCTTTTAAAGAAAGTGATAAGATGAAAAAGGCAGTAAAAAGTAATAATTTGGGTGAAAAGTGAAAATTGGTACGAATTCATGGGCAGGATCTTGCATTTTGTACAACGCATGCGCAGTAATTATTTCTCATTTAAAAGCCTTTCTCGCTCTTAAGTAACGTTGTTAGACGAAAATCTCTTAAATGTAATCATTTGCCACTGAGTGGATACAACAGACTTTATTTTTATCAATAAATACTTTCTTTGTACTCCCACATGGCTAAGAAACACGGTAAAGAGCGAAATATAAGAATCTCGTTCACAAGACTATTACCGGAAGCGTAGGGTGCTATTACGAATACCTCCATCGCATCGCTTTCGTAGCTGATCTGGTGATATTCGTAACAGCTTTGGTTCGGTACCCTTCTAGGACACCAACGCCAACCCAAAGTTTCTAAATCAAGCCGCTCCCGACGTCTCGCGCTCGGTCGAGTGACGCTTTCATAAACCTCCGTTGGAGTGTTTCGGTTTAAACGTATCCTCGTTTCACTTACCTAAATCTGTAGGATACTGACTTAGTCAGTTAACTCGCTTCCAGTGGCACTGCGAGCAGCAGTGTGCCATTGTTTTGAATAATTTTATTTTTCAGCTTAAAAGTGGCTAAAAGGTATTGATAACTCTTTTGAGTTCTTAGTGGGGCCATGTCACGAGGATATGTGCTGCATTCTGTGCTGAAGTCATTACTTATTATCTTAGATCTGATTCGAGCCAAAGGCAAAAGCCTATATTTAAGCCACAGACAGTAGAAGCACCTTCTGAAATGTTGTTTCTATTTCTTTTCAGAGGAGGGAAGTAAAGAAACAACTCTTATGAATGGCAAACAGGTTCGCTTAGCCAGCATCTCAGGACAGCCTTTGTTGCTATCTAAAGGCAGATACAATTTGAGAAAACTTCACGAACTTCCTGTTCAGCTTATTCGAAGTCAGCGATGGGACGAGTTGAAAAACGAAGTGCTCTGCAACTTCTATTGGCTCAAGACAAAGATAGAGGTGCGGTCGCTAAGGTGAGGCAACTTCTTCTGATTGGCCTTGAATGAAAGTGAGGCTGGAGTTGAACTTTGTTTTGTTAGAAACATACATAAACATACATCTTTTTCTTATGCATATGAATTGCACAGAGGTTTCTACCAAGAGGAAGTCGACGCCAACCTCGCTTCCACTCGAAGGCTAGATTGCTTAGCATACAACTGTAAATTAGCCTATTGCCTATGGAAATGTTTAGCGGATTTTGACCAAGTTCCCGCTCAACTTGAGCAATGCGTTTACCGCTGTTTTGTAGTGGTTTTCTGATTGCCTGATAAAGCTTGCCCCATACTGCAACAACGTCAATCATAACTTGATTGCGTTCATTTTCCCCCTTAATATCCGTTATCGGATACGTGTTCAAGTTCTGATGGTCCTTCAGAGCCACTCTTTTGTTAAGGTTTTTATGAAAGTGAAGGTGCCGGTATATAAAGCGGACATAATCTCCATCGCACAGATTACACTACAGAAACAGTTTGACCCAATCGCGTTAAAGGGTTTTTGTCGAGTTATTTGCTTAAAATCTTAAACAATTGTCTTATCAATTGAGTCCCAAAAATAATGGCCCAGTTTTGTTATTAAAAAATTTTTCAGGCGTTGAAGCTCTTTTCCGACGTCTGTTGCAACGGATGGAAAGGATGGACATGGATTGAAACAAAAAAGCTGGGCCAATTTTTCTAGTTTAATGCTATGCCTCCAAAAATCACCAAAAAAATTATTATGCTTAGTGCTCCCTGCACCGTAATTTCTAGGGAGTTGTTATAGCTCCAAAAATGGAGTAAAAATTTTAGGTACAGAATAACCCCTTTTTGGGGGTTACTTTAACTCCTAATTTAACTCCGAATTTGGGGTCATTTTTACTCCTGAAAAAGAGTTCTTTTTACTCCCAGTCTGGAGGTAAAATAACTCCGAAATGGGATTATTTTCACTCCTTACATTGGTTGTTTTTACTCTTTTTGGAGTTAATTTAACTCTGAAAGTGGAGTAAAACTTCTAGGTACAGGATAACTCCTTTTTGGGGGTTATTTTAACTCCTCAATATCTGGGGTCACTTTTACTCCTGAAGAAGAGTTGTTTAAACTCCTTTTTGGAGTTAAAATAACTCCCCAAGAAATAACCCTGGATAGCCTAAAAAGTGTTTTCAATGCATTTGGGAGGAAACCGTTGCTGGGTGCCCCTGATTGCGTAATGGTAAAGGCTCTTAGTAATGACTTCAGCACAGAATTGACCTCAAACAGCGATTTCCTCGTGACATACCGTATCCCCTTTTAAGTTACTTGTATACCGCAGAGTATTTTAATTTTGAGATTTTTTGTATTCGTTCATTACAGATCTGTGTTGGATAACTTCTGCATGGCCATGGACGTTGTGAATGATCCTGACATCGCTGCAGTGGCAGAAACTCTTAAACTTGCTCAAGATGCTATATTAAGTGATCCCAAGCAGCTAGCTTCACAGTTGGTGGCGAGACTCTACGAGGTTTACTGAAAGCAATCTTTAGTTCCGCTGAGGCCTATTTTCCTTTCGTAAACAGTCGTTGCCATTTTTAACGGTCGATGCCACCATTGGTAACCAAGCCCTTAGTCATAATAGATGTAATATATTGCCTGGATCAAGTCACAATAAGGCAAATAATACGTTTTTGAGGAGTCTTAGATTGTTTGATTGATTGATTGTTTTTGTTTTTTTGTTTGTGAAGTCTAAGTTGCATTTACGTTTAAAGTCATGGAAACGGATAGGGTCACCTGTTATTGATGTATCAATTATGAAAGACAGTCTGTTAGTTTATGTACTCAAATTTTTCGGAATTTTGGCGGGTCGTTGTGGTAGTGTAGTGGTAAGGGATAGAGATTAGGGTACGAAAGGTCCAGGTTCGAGGTCTGGTTTGACCCTGGGTTGCGATTTCTTTCTTTTTAATAGGAACACTCTTCATAACAAATCAAAATTTTTGGAAGTGTCTCAAACATGGCAACGACCGTTTACAAAAGGGACAGCTGCTCCGCCGAGCCTTACGACCTTTGATGCGGCTAGATAATAGAGTGCTTAAGGTTTGAGGACGAGGACGAGTACTGGATTTAACTTTAAGTTTTTTCACGTATTCTCGAAAAATATTAAACTCGGAAAGCTTCATTGTACTATTTTTCACCTGAAAAATTCGTGAGGTTATCTTTTTTGGAGAAGGTTTAGCCCTTTCCCGATCAAACTTCCAAAACTTCATAACTTTGTCCCGCCAATACAACGTTCTCGCTAAAACTCGTAGTAGAATGACGACGGCTATCAAATTTTCCCGCCAAATGACGCTGGTTCTCGGGCGAAGTACTTAGCATTGGGAAAATCTCGTACTCGTAGTCGTCTTCATCTTAGAATCTAAAGCTCTCTATTGCTGTCACTTTTTCCATGTTATACGAAATGAAATTTGACTGCGGGTAGTCCCTTATTTTCGGCATGGACAGTGGACATAGTAGTCTCCTTAGGGTCGTCACGCAACACCCACACTGGGGAGGAGCGTTGCGTGACGACACTAAAAACGGCTGCGAAGGTAGGCATAGTAAAGTTCGTGAAATACTCGAGCGCGCGCGAAAATTCGCCACACTTCCCTCCGCCCGCCACCTTCCAAGCAAGTGGCAATTTTCACTCGCGCTTGGATGTCTCGTTCGCTCAACTATCCCTGAGGCAAAATAGAGATTACTCTTGGCTATTGGAAGTGGAAGGGTCCTTGAGTCGTCACAAAATGAGGTCCATTGTATTTGCTGCAACTTTCCTATTGATTGTTTTAAATCTATTCTGTTTATTTTGTAGTGTAAAGTCCAGAATGCTTGTGAAGTTCTGCCTTCAAAACTGTCACCCGTGAGTATTAAGATACTAACATTCTTTAAATACAAGCTTTTCTCCCTGAAGTTTCTCATAGCCGTGTTTTTGAAGCTTCGGTGTAGTACCCTTAGTATATACACAATAGAATGAACAGTGTCCTGCTGGCTGGACAGACCCGGATCGCCAACCGTTCTTATTTTTTACGTTTGATAAACCTCTGTTGCTGCTTTTTTTGTATTTTAGGTACTCTCCAAACTTATGCACGACTCACGCAGTCCCCCTGAGCCCACACTGATCCCGTCCAGAGGTTTTCTGACACCCCCTGGTGGTCAGCTAGTGCAGACATTAGTGGGCCACTCACAAAGTGCAGTGTATGGACTGGCAGCCTCAAGCGATGGAAAATACGCTGTTACAGGTGATGCCGATTTTTTTCAATACGTATTATTTTTAGGCAAGCCTTAAGCTACGTGTAAACGGACGCAACGTTGTTGGCCAACAACTCCCAACATCGTTGGATGTTACATGTTGTGTCCTTTTGCACACCCTGTCGCATATTTCTGCGTGTTGTGGTTGGGAGTTGTTGCGGAAAGTTTGAAATCGGTCAAACTTTTAGCCCGGTGCAAGCGGAGGCAACATTGTTAGCCAAGAACTGCCGACAATGTTGGGAGTTGTTGGGTCCGTTTGCACGTAGTTTAAGTAAAGGCAGAGATTGTGACGAAACCGGGGGTGTAAGGAGTGTTGAAAAACTGTAGGCTACCTGTGTTTTCTAGCTACTTGGTTTGCCTGTGTAGTGTGCGGTCACCTGTAAGCAACAGAAAGCGTAATACGCAACCATGACAACGACGTCGGAAATGTTACTTAACAAGTGAATAAACTTTATCGCGATTATTCCATTTGTTTAATTTTTCAAATGTGGTCTAATTTTCTAGCCGCGGTTGATAAATCACTGTCCAGCGGATAAGTATTAGGGAAGCCAATTTCGCTATTCTCTGGATAGATTTTTATCCGTGGATAGCCCTATCCAACGTTTGAACAACCGGGGTCTGGATCGGAGTTGGATTCTTACTTTACGTATCTCTATGTTCAGACTAAGGAACTGAGAAAATCGTCGTCTTGTGTTACGTTTACAACGTCGCAAAGGAAAGTACCATAAAGTGTGATAAACTTACAGTGTTGTTGTTTTGCTTATAAAACCCCTTTGCTTTTTTAACGCTCTCGTTGCCGTTGCCGTTGTCGTTAGGAAGCTCACGAAACCACGACTGTGACGGCAACGAGAGGGCGTCAAAAAGCAATAAGAGACACCACGGTTTACAAACGTTGTTTTTGTTATTCAAATGTTTAACGAGTGAAACAAAAGAATCTTCGGTGACATGAACCAATCCGGTTCTGGTTGGCACATTAAAGTCAGCGTGAGTATCGCTAGAAAAATAACCTGAGAAAACAACTTACACTTCGCGACGCTAAATCTGGTTTCTCCGCGAAATGACGTCAGAAGAACGACTGAAATTCCATACTGATGAGCTGGTACAACTCAGATCTGGGTAGTGTTTCTGATTGTTTAAACCAAATTTTTAACCAATCAGAAGCACTACCCAAATCTGGGTAGTGTCGCGTCATCAGCATGGAATTTGCACTCCCCTAAAAGAAACCAGCTTTTGGTGATCTAGGCTAGCTTGGATAAATAAAGTTTACCTCTCTCTCTCTCTCAAAATTTTCTCAGGCTATTTTGCACGTGCATCATGCATTATGGTGCATTTTACTGGCGTCATCTCCAAATACGACCATTTGTAGTGGTCATTAATACACAATGTTTAGGTCATGTATTTATTGTTAGTGTTGTTGTGTATCGCAGGCTCGCAAGACGGTGTCGTCAAAGTATGGGACATCAAAGATGGCTCATTACTCTTGACCGTGCAAGAGGCTGGGGAGGAGATTGGTTTTCTCACGTGCTGTTGTGATGACGAGTTCATTGTGGCTTCGTCAAAGGGTGGAATAAGGGTGATATCTTTTGAAACTGGTGAAGTATTGCACAGGTGAATATTTAACAGTTATTAAATGAGGCTGAGTATGATATTAGTGCCGAATCATGGCATGTCGAGGAGGGTTTTACCGTAAACTTCCTCGTATGCGCCCTGGGCTAATACAACTTAGTAAGGGGTTTTAGGAGAGCCTATAACACGACTAAAAAACGTTTCAAAACAAGCTACATAGCAGTGCTGATCAAACTCCCTTTTGGATTTACTCGCTTTTTTATGCTTCATAACGTCGTAAAAATCGAATTTATTTCACAACACGCTCGGGGGGGGGGGGGGGGGGGGGTTTACGCCGGGGGGTTTTTTTTTTTTTTTTTTTTTTAAGATAAAGGGCATTCTTCGGGGGGGGGGGGGGTGGGGGGCGCTTTTGGTAGATGGTTTATGGCAAAAAAAAAGCACGGTTTTATTTATGAGTGTAAAAACAGAGATAAACTCCCTCAAACCATGATTAAACACCAAAAAGCTAATGCTGAATTTTCTGGTATTTAAAACTATCTTAGAAACATTAAATGATATAACTCGAAAAATGAAATTTTTTAAGATAATTTTTGTTTTTTTTTTTTTGCGGATTTTTGTTCCGAAGTTTTTTTTTTTTTTTTTTTTGACAAGTAGATAGGCCTATAACTGGGTGGAGGGTGGTAGGGGCCCTATTAGTCCAGCTGTTATCGACCAAAAAAAGCTCGAATTGTTCAAATTGGTGATACAAGCATGAAACTTTCACAGATTGTTAAGGGCCCTATATAAGCGGACGTTTACGGTATGTGGCTCATAACCTCAGAGATCTGCATAATTTTTCATATCATACGAAAGCCGTTCTCAATAATTGCTTTATAATTCATTTAAAATATTTGTTAGCTTTTAACATCCTTTCTCCGTTTTCTTCCTTCTTTTTTCTTTTTACAGGGTAGAGGCAAAGTATTTCAAGAGGTGTCCTCCAATAACACCAGCTGGCGAAAAAGGGTCGAAACTGGTCTTTTTCAAAGAGAAAAGTTTGAACGTATGCTCAACTTCTTCTGGAAAACCGTTGCATAGTTTCTCTAGCATCAAACCTGTTGGTAATGCGGGACAAAACAGTCTGCTATCTTCTTGGGGCGACGTTGTTCTCTGCAATTCAAGCGAGGATGAGAATTCCTTAAAAGTTCTCGACACTAAAGACTTCAAAGTACTCCATTCTTTCAGGGTTTTTGAAGAGAAAGACGAAGAGGAGTTTCTCCATCTTACGCAGATAATTATGAAATCTGAGAACGAAGTCCTGGTTGCTAAGAAAATGAAGATTGGCTTGTACTCGGTTGATAAAGGCGAAATATTACGAACGTACAAGTGTAAAATTGATGACTGGATTCAAAACGCTTCAGTCGACTTGACTTGTAGCACGTTAGTGTTTCCTAAACGCGATAAAGTCGCGAAACTTGATCTTGAAACTGGCGAGCGAACAGACGTTCTACCACATCCAAATTACGTCTCCAGATCTTTCGCTGTCGACTGTAATATGATTCTCACTTCCGGTGGTGACAACGTTGTGAGAGTCTGGGACCTAACCCGGGAGGATGTTCAGCGGCACTTTAACAAACCGGAAGTCTTGACGAATATATATTCAATTCCCGGTGATTCCCGGCACCTGGTAACAGTGGGTCGACTAGGCATTGACAATTTTTGTGTAACCATTTGGGATCTCACGACATTGTTGCCCGTGCGAAAAATCACAGGCATAACAGCCAGCTATATACAGCTTATCAATGATCGAAGAGTCGCTCTTCGCGTTGACGAGCGCGTGGCGATCGTGGACTTGCTGACTTGGAAAGTTGTAACGGTTCTCAAAGGAAAAATTCCTGCCTACGATTTCTTAGGGGTTGATGATATCTGCGTTGTGAATAACAGAAAAGAAATCCTTACTTTTGCGTACGATCGCAAGAGTTTGATTTTGTACAACATCGAAACAGGTGATCAAGTTGCGGTTTTGAAGACGAGCAGAAGTGAGCTTGAAATCCCCCATTTTTTCGTCAACCCTGAAGGAACAGTAGCTGTTTGGGACGTAGACAGTCTCAGCCACCAGCTGTCTGTTTGGAACCTGGAGACGAGAGAAGAGATTTTTGTTATCGACAGGGAGGGGTCTGAGAAGCATACGGAATTCACTCCTGATGGTCGCTACTTCATGTTCAGTGCCCGCAAGAAAAGCGATTATATCGTTCGCACAGCTGTCTGGGATATACAAGCTAGTAAGTATACAACAATTAGAAAAAGCCCGGCGGGTTAGGCTTAAGGGCGCTTTCCGTTTCTCAGAACTGCTACATTGCCGGGCCAGTCAGTTAGCAAATGAAATCAGCTTTTTCCGAAGGGTTTTTGCTGAAAAACCATCTCCTTCGTGCATACTTGTGGAACTTGTGGTATATAAGCTTTATTAGTGTAAATGCCGCTGTGAAAAGTTACATCGAAATCAGAAAGATCTGTTTTAGCCCTAAAAATGGGGCGGTTTCGGTGAGTAAAATACAGTCCTATTTTTGATTCTAATTTGGCTGTTTTAGTCAGGGCCAATACAGTCCAACTACTTAGGGCTGAAATTGGTCCCAGCGAGGGCTGGAATGGCCTTTTGATTGAGCTGTTTTTTTGCCTAAATTGTGCTCAAATGGCTCCAAGAGGGGCTGAATCTGATTTTGAGCTGCAGGTCTGGATTGGCCCTTTAGGGCTGAAACAGATCTTTTTAATTTTCAGTGTAAGGTTTTGTGGCGGTTTAGTCTGGGATGGTTTTAAGAAACCAGAAAGCACAGATCTAGAAAGGGCATCATTTATTACTGAAAGTAAGTATTAGGGCATAGTGACAAGGGAGTCATATCGTATTTGAAGCCAGATCTGTAGATATCTGGCTATGATCTGTGGCATTCAAAGAAGATATTTTTTTGTTTTCTAACTGGATATCACTAAATCTGTTAACATTTCAGGGAAGCACGCGCATGATTTGCGGTACCCGCATGATACAGACACCATTTCTCTAGCGGTAATGGATAACTCTAGAGTGGTAACAGCTCATAAGGACTTGAAAATCATATGCTGGAACATCGAACAAGGTATTCAGCAATCCACTACTACTCAGTTCAGCACAGGGAGACTTAGGCTATTTTCACACTTTTGCGCCATCCTACCACTAGAGCCTTTCTTTGTTGGCGTTTATGTTGGCGTACTCCAGAAAGTATCGAGTAACTAGAGATCTTTGTTGAACGTGCGCGGCATGTTCCTAGGAAACAGTTTCGAACCCAGGCGTAATAGCCGTGTGCTTGCTACAGTGGGCTCGGTTATGACCATCGGTTTATTTGTAAACGGATGCTCGCCCTCGAAAAAACCTGTTTGACAAGAGAAAACAGGATTGACTAGTCCGGGAGTTTGGCCTGCGGCGATCTCAAAGGTTTGACGTGATTCAGGCAGAGTCTTCTTTTCTCCTCTTCAAGAGAAGGCTATGCTCGCATAGTGCTTTTGCGCCCACATTGAAACCATAGCGGATAGGGGTTCTGTTTACGCATAAGAACAGTGATTTCGGCGCGATTTCTGTAACGGAGCGAAGTCGCGCCGAACTCGAAAGTGGAGCGTCACATATCGGATGGATTCTGAGCCACAGTTTGGTGCAGTGTGACCAGGTATCGAACCGTTGCGGGAGTGAACAGGTAGGAGCGAGGACTGGAATCCGCTTAGACGGAAGTTAAAAATTCAGGAGTGAGTACTGGGGTTTTAGTTCACCAAACCCTGTCGTCCAACCGCTCCGGCACGATGTTCGATGTGTGTGAACGACAAGTTCCAGTTCTGTACCGTTGTTGTCCATAATATACCGGATAGGTTTTCATATCGGCACTAAAAGCTTTCTGGTAGAGTGTAAACATAGCCGGATTATTTGTTCCACAAAAAACTTTTCGTCAATCACTTGTGTGAGCTTATTCAAGCATTGATATATGTTTTTGTTCAATTTCATCATTGGTATAAACTTTATTTTCTTTGCTTTGGAGTATGATAATGATTATGGGCTGGAACTTAAAACCCGGAGCAAGCAACTGCCATAGTAGATCTCTGTCACGGCGTTTTCACGGATAGCTAATTTTTGGATAAATTTAGAGCACTTTTTCCTGTAAAATGGAAGTTCAACTCCGTCTGTGAGCGCATTCAGAGTATAAGATATGAAAAAGTGAAAATAAACGTCATTAAAAGGGCAAGAATACCATTTTCAGGTCATAGCTTTTGCTGAATGGTTTGCAGCACTCAAAAGATCTTCTCAATTCGCGCCAAAACCGTTCTAAAAATAACCTGATCAGTGAAAACGCCGTGACACGGGTACATGGAATTTGCTCTCTTCAGGTTATGGGCTCTTGCCCGGGGATTCTTTTTCCTTCTTCCTTCAATTACTTCTTCTCTGAGAAACCCTTTGTGTTATTGATTTTCCCTACTTCTTTGTCCTTTCGTTTAGGAACCGTGATTCACACTCTTCTCAGCAGTCATTTAAGCAATCTACGAATTGATGTCGTCGCTTCCGAAGGGGATTTTGTTGTAACCTTTGAGGAGAAGACACTGATCCTATGGGACATGAATGCGGGCGTGCAGAAAGCCACTTTTAACGCAGATAAGGTAGGGACCTCTTTCCAGCGCAGGGGCCTCTTGTTGTGTCCGAGGGAGGTTGGGGAGAGGGAAAACTGAAAGCGCGCGGGGGTCGATGGGAAGAGCAAAGAGAGGAAGTTCTCTCTTCCCATCGTCCACAGCGTGGTTGCTGTTTTTTTTTTCTTTTAAATTATTGCTATTTTTAATGTAATTCCCAGCGGGAGCCTATGCAGAGGAGAGGTGTTAGCAATCACTTTGGTGACTCGCATAGAGTCACTGGTTACCAAGTGAAATTCATTTATCTATTTATTTATTTTTGATATGCTTAATTAACCACATAAATCTTAAAATACAAGTGAGAAAGAAAATAATAATAATGATAATAATAATAATAATAATAATAATAATAATAAAACAACTTACTTCCAACTCAACTAAGTAACAAAACAAATTGTGACAATAGGGCCATTTATACGAGGAAAAATAAGACGCGTCTTAAATAAGACGCGAACTTTCCGTATAAACGGCACATTTCATCTAAAATAAGACGCGGCTTAGTTAAGACGCGACTTATTAGATAAGACATGCTCGTATAAATGGTACAGTTCGCGTCTTATTTAAGACGCGTCTTATGTAAGACGCGTCTTATTTTTCCTCGTATAGATGGCCCTAATGACTGATGTCGAAAGGAATACAAAAAAAACCAATTATTACAACAGTTCCTACAAATCACTAAGTTAACACTGAATAACAATTTATCACATCTAAGTCTCACTTAAACTAAGCAATTATGACGAAATAATAGGAATTACAATGCAATGAGAGGGAAAAAAACCTATGTCAAACAAAATTCTTAGGAGATATAAACCATTTCCTTTTAATTTAACCTTTACGTGGGGAAACTTAACATCTACATTTACACTAAATACACTGCAAAATGCTGTGCGACATTCTTTTTTGGAAGCTTGACAAAAGTGCTTTCATGAGGTGATTCTCCCACGATGTCAAATTTAATTTTGTACCCTGGCACTAGTGCTCGAACAACAAGTGCAAATAGCCCCTGTAGGCTATGTCCACATTTGGTGCCCAATTACGAATGTAAATACACCCTCAGTTAATTTGACTGTAGCTTATGTAATCCCGCAGTTCTGGGCTTGAAGAACAGTTTGTACGGCTCAGGGGTGTTCTAGCTGTTTAAGAAGGGGTTTTCCTACCAGACCCCAGATGGTAAATAGGTGGATATCTAGCGTTATCCGCCGGATAATAGGGAGTCTAAGCAGCGACGTTATTGAGCGACGCACGTGAACCGGAAGTGGACTTTTGAACCAATTTTTGGGCAAATCGTTTCTATAAGGTAGCGTCAAGACTTCAGTGTTAAAAGAGGAAAAGGCTCACTTCCGGCTGACGTGCGTCGCTCAAAAACGTCGCTGCGTAAGCCGATAAAGCAATTGATATCTCTAAGCCCTGGGCGCTTGTTTAATTTTTGGACCTTGAAGGAGGGCGCTTATTCGAGGCGGGCGCTTTTTCGAGCCTGGCCGCTTATTAACTTTTCCGGCCTGTAGGGTGGACGCTTATCCGAGGTTGGGCGCTTAATCGAATAAATACTATGCTTATCAGCTGGATGGTGATTTATCCGGTGGACAACCTGAGATCAGGCTCTATTTTCGTTTCGCTTTCAAAATAACATTCCGGCGGGCAAGGCGAAACGAAAATAGAGCCCAATTTTAGCGGTAGCCGTTTGAGAGAATGTATGAGAACCGCTAAACTTGGGCCTGATCTCAGGTTATCCGGTGGATAGCGCTATCAAACGTTTCAACAACAGGGACCAGATGTTTTCAGAATAGATTGCAGTAAGGGGAAAAATTTCCATTTACGTTTTCTGATATTTTCCTGATCTAATGAAGTCAAAAGCATGAATAACTGCGTAAAATTGGTTTCGAGCTGGTTCGAGATAGCAATAAACGCACGGCGAGTGTCGAAAAGGAACTCTCACAAGTAGCCATTTTTTTTTTACTGTGGTACTTTGAACGGAAATTGATTGTGCTGCAAAATTAAATCTTGATGTGTCTAAAAAAAATAATAGGAAAAAATCTATCAAAGCCATTCCAACTAATTGACAAAGTAACTTCTCCAAACCTAATTTATTATCAGTAAAGAAGGTCCAGTCAAAACAGTCTTGATTGAAATAAAAGCAACTCCCCTTTGTGCTTTAGTTATG